ATAAATTTAACTTGCCGAGCCTTCTCAGGAAATACAGCCTCTTCTGTGCCTTCTTCATTAGCATGTTGGCATTTATAGTCCATGAGAGGTCCTCTGAGATGTAAGTGCCCAGAAATTTAAAACTACCAACTCTCTCCACTTCCTCACCGTTTATGTACAGTGGTAAATGTACATTTCTCTTCCTCCTAAAATCAATTATGAGTTCTTTAGTTTTTTTGATGTTAAGTGTGAGATGATATTACCTCTTGGCCTATTACTAAAAAAAATAAGTTGTTTTCTGTCAGGGTTCACTTTGCATTGTTTTACAACCACAGTTATGGAAATTTGCATTATTGTGTTTTTGTTTCTCCCCACCCCCCATGTTTCAGATCATCTTTCAGTGGCCCTGCCTTTGGCCCTCACCCTTATCTGCATTTTGCTAGTTGGTTCAGCTGTCACTTTAGCCATCTGCATGGCTCGAAAGCAAAAAGGTATGGAGTATGCTAGAAAGGAGATGGAAGGTTTTTTTTTTAGTATGTTGTGGTTTCCTACCTTGCTGGTTTGGCTGTGCCTTCCTGGAGCGGTCTGCCGATATACATCAACCATTTCCCCCATCATGAGTTTCATGTAGCACTCCAATATAAAGTAGAATGCCTTTCTGAGCCCACAATTACATAGTCATTATTGCAGAATTGAGTTTGAATGACATCTCAACTTCCAAGGTAAAGGAGGTTAAATTGCTTTGGTCAATCCAAGATTCTGCCATGTTGGAATATTGTATGTAACATTTGCATTACTCTTTAGAGAGGGAAGGGTCATCATTGCTCAATGGCTATAGTTAACCTAGAGTTCACCCTAACTATTTTCTTAATATTTAATGTTTCCCACCTTTCTGCCTTTCGGTCTCTCTTTCTTCTTCCCCTTTATTTAATTGTGAATGGTTTCCAATAACCAATGTTTAAACAGGACTTACATCTCTATCAGGCCATCATATAGATTCAAGAGTCCAATGCATGTTTCCACAACAAGAAAAAATAGAGAAGTCAAGTCTTAGGAAAGGAGGAGCAGTATATTCCCCTCTTATTACATGCATCTGAGCCACACAGCAAAGATAGCTGAATGTTTGATTCTAAATTTGGTGTTTCAGAAGTAGCTGATATGTATACACTAAAATTGTATTCTATTCGATTTTCTAATGTGTGTGTTCTTCTTTTACTCTTAGTAACAAATTCTAGAACAAGCAATACTGATGGACCAGAGGATGGTAAGTGAGCCATGATTTTCTGCACTTTTGTATGTGGAAACTTGGACTGGGGTAGCTTGTGAAACAGGATGGTGCTCTTTGCTGTATTAAAATACACACACTATGAAGCTGTGGGGTGTTATGGCCAAGAGCCCCTAAGTTGTGGAATGGGACCTGTTACATTTTGAACCAAAATTCTGTAGACAGCTTGTACATTTCTGCACAAAAGATAATCATGGGTCTGGTTGTTCTGTTTGTCTTCCATTTCTTGAATATAGTTGTTTTGTTTCTCTGTCATATTTATATTTATTGGCATATGGACATCCAAAAAAGGAGTAGAACCTTGGCTTATTTTGAATATAAAATTTCAATTTTCCAGATATCCTTCCTGTGTTACAGTCACTTTCACCGCTGAAGCCCCGTAAAGTTTGGATTGTGTATTCTGCTGATCACAAGCTCTATGTAGATGTTGTGATGAAGTTTGCTCAATTCCTGATTACAGACTGTGGTACAGAGGTAGTCCTAGACCTCCTGAATGAACGTCAGATATTTGAGATGGGCCCTATATGCTGGCTTACTCGGCAAAAGCATGAAATAGAAAATCTGTCTTCCAAAATTATTATCTTGTGTTCCCGCGGTACCCGTGCAAAATGGCAGGCCATGCTTGGATGTGGGGAAATAGTTGTGTCTCTTAAGCAAGATACCCTGCTGCCATTAGGAGACATGTTCACTCCGGCACTGAATCTAATTCTACCAGACTTTAAGCAGCCAGCTTGCTTTGGCATGTACCTTGTTTGCTATTTTGAGGGCATAAGCAATGAAAAAGATATTCCAGATCCATTCAATGTCACCTCCAAGTACCAACTGATGGACAAGTTTGAGGAAGTTTACTTCCTAATACAGGATTTGGAAAAGTTTGAGCCAGGACGCGTCCATCGGATTCCAGAAATCTCACCTGAAAAGTACATTGAAAGTTCCAGTGGCAGACAACTGAAGGAAGCACTGCAGACATTCCAGAAATGGCAGGCTGAACACCCTGACTGGTTTGAAAGAGAGAACACCTGTTCTGAGGCTGAGGAGGACCTGCAATCCCTGAATGAAGAGCTCTCTGAGGCATTAATACCCGTCAGGGAAGGAATTCTGAAAAATCATCTGCTTCCACAAGAACCTGATCCTAATAACTGTTGCTTGATCAACCTATTGGCCAGTGAGGGTGAATTGGGAGCCTGTAAATTGTTGCCCCAGCATGTATCACAAGAAGATTTAGCATTCCAGACCCTTGTCATTCCTGCTGACGAGACCTCTGAGATTCAGCAGGTAATGCCTGTTGACCTTGCAACGGAGCAAGAAATACTTAGCCATCAACTGTTGACCAATGAAGACTGGCTGGAAAGAATGCCTATGATAGCAACTAGCATCCCAAAGAGGAACAGTGTCATTCTTCAAGAAGATGTATCCTCAGGTCCCCAACCCCTGCCAGCTAATGTGAGGCAGCAGCTAAAGGGATTAATGTACTCTCTGTATCAACAAAGTGTTATTCCATCTGATCCACCTTTTTGCCAAGAAGGTGTTAATGAGCAGCAGGGCTTGGTTTTTGATGAGTCATGCAAAGTTCAAAGACAATCAGTGCAGTCAGACCAGGGTTACATTTCAAGGTGTTCTCCTCTGCCTTCTGATAGCCCTGTAGAGGAAGAGGAAGAAGACCAAGCACAGGAAGGGCATGAATCTGCTGGATCCCTCTCACCAAATATACTGGACAGTCTTAAAAGTCTTCAGCAACAACTGCTTTTCCAGGATATTCAAATGAACTTCAGCTAGAATAAGATGGGAGGGAAGATGGAGATGCCATCACTCTCTGCCTGGATCTCGTTCAGTGATTTTCCAGAAGGACTGTTGGTTTTGATTACAGGATTCTGGATATCCTTTGACAACCTGTGTATCCTTATAATACACAGCTTTGTGAAGTCTAATGGGTAGAGGAGGTGACTGTTCTCTGCCATTTGGCAGCTAGGCTAACCTGTTTGCCCATCACTCCTTAGCACTTATCCCATCTGGCTACAGTATTTGTGGACCATCCTTGTGCTTAACTTCTGATAAATTTCATTGGATTATTTGGAATGATGGCATTGTAAAAGAGAAAGAAGACTCTCTCTTTCTACGTGGTCTCTGTTGCATTTATACAAAATCAGATTATTACCTAATAGTGTGACTGCATAGTTGATCATTGGAAGAACAAATGCTAAACATAAGCAACCTGTTTTTCAACTTCATTTGTAGCAGTTGTAAAATCTTCATCATGTTTTATCCTTTCTTAGTCTTCTTCCTGAATGGAAATGCCCAGCACACTTCAACTGTGTTTCTGTTTTTATCATTGAGGTTGTCTTTTTGCTGTGCTCTTTTAGCTCTAGGGAAATGAGATTACACTCAGATTACTGTACATAGTTCTGGTGATCAACCATATGTATTACAAGAGGTTTCTTGGTTTTCTGGCCAATTGTGTAAAATATAACTTTGCTATATTATCAATCTTTTCCAAAATAATCCAAGCATATAATGTTTCTTTTTCATTGCTGTTACACACTGAGATGATGTTTGCACTGAACATTTCACAACCACATATTTCCCAAATACTTTTCCTTATTAATTTACCTTATTTTTCGCTCCATAAGACACACTTTCCCCCCCCCAAATAGGGGGGGAGAAAGTATGTGCGTCTTATGGAGAGAATACAGTAAAAAAGGGTTCAACCACTACCCCCCAGAAGCCTCCCACTGCCATGCTGGGAGGCCTCTGAACTGGCACCAGAGACTGCTTGCTATTTGGACCTCACCATTCTGCACTGCTGGCTTTCCAGGATCTACTTCCTGAAGCCCACCTGGAAAACCAGCAAGGCCAACAGGCCTATGGCAGCAGGCAGTGAGAACAGCCAAGGACCAGGGGAAACCACAAACACAGTCCCCCACTTAGACAGTAGATCTTCCCACATTTGGGGAAATCACAGGGGTCAGCACATCCAAAGTGCAATAGATGAGCCTCACCCTGGGAAAGCCACTTTGATTATTATGGTATCTCCCCTGCCAGGTATGAGTTGGAATGGCCCCTGAACCTCCTGCCCCTTTCTGTGCCCTGTCCCCCAAAGGCATGGTGACCCCCGGCTGCACCTCCTGATCAGAACAGGGCTGCACAGCCCCAGTTCCAAAAGAGGCAAAGAGAGCTACTCAGTGTTTTGGGGTGCCCCACAGGACCCCCATCAGGGGCTGGATGTTCCTCCCACAATCCTCCAGTGCACAGATATTAGCAT